CTTTTAGGGGTTTGAATAGCTGTTAAAACAGGATGAAAAAATATTTTTCACACAAATTCAATAGTTTACGAAGTGTAGAACAAACAAATTGTTTTCATAGTTCTAATAGCATTGGTCTAAATATGTTATGTCAAATTGTTTTTATTGTATTACGTAAATGCGCACAAATAATGCCTTAAATTGCATAATGAAGTCTAGTATTAAAACGACATTGATGTTAGCCTTTGAAAATGTAAGTTTCAAACGTGAGCTTTCGAGAGGGTTGGATGTACTTGACCAAACAATGTGTTTGTACGCTAAAACCCTTTGAATATTGATGTGTTAACGTAAAGCACACTTGTTATCTGATCCATAGTCCGTGATACGATCACTTTTACAAAATAAGTTCAAATATAAATTTCATATGATCATTATAATGTTTACTGTGTAGTTTAATATAATATATTAATATATTTTATCAATTTCCAAGCGCGCTTGTCTCATGTTGCTTGGTAATGCACAACGTTGTTGTACTTATTTGGGATAGTGTTGTGGTTTTCCTAATCTGTTTAGCTAGTTCGATTAGGCGTTCTGTATCGTCCGAAATATGTTTTCAGACAATTCAATTAGGACTTCGGTATTTGATGATCGCGATTTGGGAATGAAAGCATGAAACGGTTTGTCTCTAGTTTAGTGGATTAACAGTAACAGTTGAGATGATTAATTAGAGTTCGGAAACTAGCATACATTATTACGTTTACATATCATTAAAGCATAGTCGTTCTGATATTACCAGATGAACCATATTGACTATATTTTAGATAATTTTACCTTTTTAGCTATCGAAATTAAAAACATTTGTCCTATATATAGTATCATTAAGATTCGCCCAATTAAAGAAAACCTCTCAAAAATATGTTGTGTTGATACAACCATGTAATGAGTAGGCCTTAAAATCATGTGACCAGACAAGTCCTGAATACCGGATTGAAAATTCACCTGGTTGTTATCAACAATGACTCGAAGAAAGCCCAACTAGACATCTAGCAAAAAATGACGAAAAGGGATGACCCCAAATGAAATAAGAAAAGGCTAGGTAAAAAAGAGATGTTATATCATTATATTATTTGTCATTTATATAGGAAAGCTTGAAATAGACTGTTGCTATTGACATAGTGCTTAAATTTTTATTACCGAAGTAGGTAGATAGTAATAGAATATGCTAATAAAATTCATGATAAAAAATCCAATTACGTGTAATGCGGCGAACAATGGCGCTCATTATAAATTAACGATCAATTGGCATGTTTGGAGCGCAGTGGGCGCGTGGGTGACTCCTGCGGGAAATCAAAGCACCACCTCACTATATTTGAATACAATAATACTTTACGTGCTGCTCTAACTTAGACTTTTATGAAATTCTAAATAAGTACGATCAATACACTATATTTAGGTTTTAGATAAAAATAATATGCTATCTAAGTAAAAGTTATCCTAGTAAGAAAGTTTAAGATGCTAAAATTGTTTGCTTTGAAACTTTTAAAATCATGTTATTTACATGAGTTTTAAGTATTTATGATTGTATAATGTAAGCGGCTCATTCAATCACCGTAATATGTTGCGGTTTACTAACGCTTCCAAACACTTTAACATCGTTTAACCTATAAACGACAACCTAGCTCATAAGTCCTGGTTTACAAGTTGCTCATATTGTAGATTATTATATATTATAAATTCTATGTTGAGAGAGAATACCTATAGAATGAGCTTTTTCTCCGTATCAACCTTTTTATGAAATCTAGGAGACTCTATCACCATGTCTTTAAATCTTTAATGGAAGTAATGCCCTCGTAAATCCATACTAATATTATAAATGTGAAAGTGTGTTTGTTTGTTTGTTTGTTTGTTTGTTTGTTTGTTTGTTTGTTTGTTTGTTTGTTTGTTTGTTCGTTCGTCCTCTTTTCACGTCGAAACGGAGTGACGGATCGACGTTTTTTTTCTATGGAGATAGTTGGAGGGCTGGAGAATGACATAGGATACTTTTCAAGATGAAAGAAGGGAGATTATCTTATTCCTACGGGAAAACACGTTATAATACAATCGAAAAAAATATGCATTATCACAATTACTTGAATCTTGGTATTAATTCTTTTTAACCCCCGACGCAAAAAGAGGAGTGTTATAAGTTTGACGTCGATGCCTGTCTGTGTTTGTGTGTGTCTGTCTGTGGCATCGTAGCTCTCAAACGGATGGACCTATTTAGATATGGTTTTTTTTATTTGAAAGCCAGTTTCCTTGCGGTGGTTCTTAGCTATGTTTGGTTAATATCGGTCCATTAGTGTAAGAGTACTCTTACACTAATGGACCGATGGTAAGCTCTTTTACAAAATGATGTAAGGCTTTTTGGCGTATGATTACTCGATTAAGTGCTTCACGCGTGCGAGTGTAATCGTTAAATGACAATTAATTTGCGTAGGAGGTTTTTGTAATTTTTATCAATAAAATTAAATGAATACGTGTTTTAGCATTTTTCGAAATTCATCCTATAAGGGGGTAAAATAAGGTAGGAAAGTTTGTTTGAAACTACCTTTTTAGAGATTTTTTTGTAGTTTTAGCGCGAGCGAAGCCGCGGGTTTTGCTAGTATATTAGTATATATATATATATATATATATATATATATATATATGTATATATACAAGGTGGTGCAAAATTAATCACCCTATCGGAAGACGATATAATTTTTGCAAATGGCGTCGTACGTCAATCATATTTGACATTTGTGAACTAGACAGCAGAATACAAACAACGGACAAGCAATGGAGCGCTATACTCCGCAAGAGCGTAGAATAATTGTTTCGATATTTTTGACCAATAATAATCGGTCGGTGGTTTTCGCGCAGTGTGAATTTCGACGTCGATTTCTTAATCTTGTCGCGCCAATTGGGCAAACATTTCGGCGCTAAGCTGCTTGACTCAAACACAGTGGTATCACACACTCTATCGTTTGTACAATGGGTTGTGTTCCGAAGAATTGTTCGAAATGATGCCCACGGCCACTTTCTATCACCGCACCGCTCGCCATCGACAGCGAGTTCATGCTCACACATTGCAGCCCAAATGGTCCCGTACAGTTCGGTTTCAGAGGAACTTTCTCCCACGGACCATCTCGCTGTGGAATGAACTCCCTGCCGAGGTTTTCCCAGAGGGCTACAGTATGGGGTCCTTCAAAAGGGGAGTAAATAGGTTTTTAAAGGGTCGGCAACGCGCATGTGATGCCCAAGGTGTTGCAGGCGTCCATAGGCTGCGGTAACCGCTTACCATCAGGCGGGCCGCATGCCTGATTGCCACCGACGTGGTATAAAAAAAAAAAAAAAAAAAGACCTTGCAGGGCGTAGGTGCCACCGAATTGGTCTTTGGGCCGAGAACATTGCGATTGTGGCTGCCGATGTCGCTGAGAACGAAGAAACATCAACCAGACGACGGACCACGCAATTGGGCATTACCAGACGGACCGTACAGCGAATTTTAGTGTAAGATTTACAAATGTTCCCGTACTAAGTGCAAACAGTGCATCAGTTAATGCTTGCCGACCGTCAATAACATGTGACTACTGTCAAGCTATCCTCAATCTCAACAATGAAAAGGACAATTTTTTGTCGAAAATCATCATGAGCGACGAGGTCCATTTTCACTTAAGCGGTTACGTCAATAAGCAAAATCTTCGTTTCTGGGGCACTTAAAATTCGACCGTGATGCACAAAGAGCTACATCCACTCAAAGCCACAGTGTGGTGCGGTGTTCACGCGAGTGATTGGGCCGTATTTTTTTGAGGACACCATCGGCAATACGGTCACTGTCACTGGCGAACGCTACAGGGCCATGATAAATGATTTCTTACTGCCGGAATTGGATGAGCGGGGCTTGGTGAACATGTGGTTTCAACAAGATGGGGCAACCGCACACACATTACGAGCCAAAATGGATAGTGTGTGTGTGTGACGGAAGCGTTTCAAAGGTCGCGTAATCTTCTGTTTTGGTGATTGGACAGGGCCAGCAAGATCGCCCGATTTAACTATCCCAGACTTCTTTCTTTGGGGCTACTTGAAGTCGCGGGCTTAATATGTCAACAAGCCTCAGACAATCGCAGCCCTTAAGGAGAATATTCGACAGGAATGCGAACAGTTATCAACTTACATACATACATAACCAAACTAATGGAAAGTCATCGAAAATGCGATAAAACTGGCATAAATGTGTGTTGATAACACTGGCGGCAGTTTCTTGACGGATATCATCTTTACCACTTAATAGAAAAAATTGTAAAGGTCCAAATAAAGATTTCCATTACTCAACAATTAAAATTGGATGATTAATTTTGCACCACCTTGTATATATATATATATATATATATATATATATATATATAATATTTATTGCTATGTACATACAAATATTATATTTATACAATATTTGTATGTACATAGCAAGAATGATTATTTGTTCTCTTAATTCGAAACTTAATTAGGTGAGATTTAGACTATTATGCTTACCACAGCGCGAAATTAACGCTTGTTATCGGTATTTATGTACATGATAATATTTATATGTACTAAACTGACTTAAAAAAGAGAAACTAGGTGGAGACTCGACGAAAATGAAAGTTTTAGATATTACAGGTGTACATTAATGACTGAAATAGTATAACAGTTTTTTTTTCTAATAAATGGTACAGCAAGGGTAACATCATTTCTAATTTGAAGAAATATTGAAGGAAAAAAAAAGGTTTGAATTTTCTATATTTTGGACTTTTGATTTGATAGTTTTTCTATTTTAACTGAACTCCTTTATTGTTATAGTCTTATACTGATCCTATAAGGACACATAATGTATAAAAAAAAGAAAATAGAAGACATTATTATTATTATATTCACAATTCTTTATGGCAAAATGTAGTACAGCAAAACTACGAAAAACAACGTAAAAGAGCGTAAAAACTTAATAAATTTAATTTAAAACTTACATGATGAATGATGTCCGTTGCGGCATAGAAGCTCTCATGAGGGTCAGGCCGTTTCATCATGTAGGGCCTCGGGAACTCCGGGTCCTCGCAAATTTCTGTTGAAAAGAAAATTTGTGATTACAATTTTTAAGGATAACTTTGAAATGTGCTAGTCATATTTAAAAATATATATAGTTTCAATATTTTAGATTTTGAGTACGTCTATTCAGTCTATTTTCAAAAATATAAAAAAAATTAAAATTAGGTATTTTCCTTCTTTAAAAATTGTATATCGTATTCATATTTACTCGCCATTTACAAGAAGACTAAATTGAAAACGCAAAAATGTTATCATATTGTCGCGTAATGGAGAGTGTGTAACAATATTGTAAGTAGTTTCTACGACATCGAAAATTTCTTTTTTTATACACTGTCTTTTCTACTGTTGTGTGTGTGTGTGTCATGTATATTATATACTTTTCTCTATATAATTAGATATGAGAGACAGCATATAGAGTTACCGCGTATTTTTACTCCACCCCTGCATTATCTTTCTATTCATTGGTTAACAAAAGAATTCAAGCTCTGTTAAAGTGTTTAAGTAACATTATAGAACTACATAAAATAATCTATTATCTCACCATGTTGTAAAATGAAACTAATACGGCACCCTATTATTACTCTTTGCTGAAGGCGCATCATTTTTCAATAAAGAGTCTGAACAATGGATATCTTTCAGAGCGGATGTCCGGGCACAGTAACGAGCGCAACCTGTAATATCTTTGTACCGTATCCAATATAACCAAGATTTTGTTGCATTCACGTAACAAAACGAGACAGATACTGCTGTTATGACGAGACGAAAACAGATAAAAGGCCAATTTAAAAAAAATATATTTAGGAAATAGACTTCATATGGTCATTTAGCGTAATTACGTATGTTGCGTTGGCTTAGTTATAATTTTATTATATGTATAGATTTTAACTTAACTTACCAAACCTAATTAGCTAAATTTCGAAATAAACTTATAAAAACACTGTTGAACAGTTTTAATAAAATAGGACTCCTCAAAACTGATTAAATAAAAACAAATTGGAAGATTTTTTTAGAACATTTTAAGAATGGTTGTTGCTCCAAGTTTTACAGTAAAGTATAGTAAATACACGATTTATGATTAATTCATTTGACAAGTTTATTGAGGATTTTAATATTAATTTTTTTGTTATATTTTTATAGTGACATTCTCCAATGATTGAAAATTCTAGTGTTCTGATGTTTTTGGCTGCTTCGAATTATTGGACGTTATTCATGTTTCGATCCATGCTTGGATGGTTCTAAGCTAAATTATATCATCGTCTTGATCCTTACTTATTTTAAAGACTCAACCCTTTAGATGTAGAATATACGGCTGAGTGGATATAAGCTCAGTAGACGTAGATTTAGTAATAAGGCCTGACCCTACTTTCTGGCAACGGAATTCTAAAAAAGATACAAATCACGAAATTAAAGTACAGGTTGCAAGGGAATGTAACAAACCAGTGTCAAGAACACTTGAAAGTCTAACGAGTGCAGTGAAGAGTCGCGTGGAGTGTTGTGGGCGAGCTAACTAGAACCGACAAGGAGTACTTACTACAAAGACGATGCGCGGATCGAAAAACGAAGGTATTTTAATGGAAAATTTATATTTTAATTGTTCGGTCATCGACAAAATTATGGAAATTTTTATCCTCTGATTTTTTATACCTGATATGTTGAGTTGTTTGAGAACGTAGATTGTAAACTTTTTTTTGTCGTTACGTGATAATATAAAACAAAGTTGCTTCTCGCTATCTGTCTGTCCCTATGTATTTTTAGATTTTTAAAACTACGCAACGGTTTTTGATGCGGTTTTTTAATAGATAGAATGATTCAAGAGGAAGATTTTAGTATATAATTTCTTAAGTTTTTGTGTACATTGGCTGATATTTGTTGGAGGTGTCGTAAAAACTAAACCGTCTGGGAGCTTTCAACGAAAACGCTGCCTAAACCCATTGAGATATAAAAAAATAATGTACAGTGGAATTGTGTATCTTATATAGGTCTACAGAATAGTTTGCGATGGCGTATGTCTATCTCTTAAGGATAACATACTATATCTATTTTAATTTAAAACGTACCTAGGGACGAACCCGAGGGAAGCGAGGGTGAGTCGCTAGTAAATATTATAAATCAGTTTTAAATATTTCCAAAAATAATAAACTTTAATATTTCATAATACTAGCATAAGAACTATAATACTTCATTATAAAAGCATAGAAACTTTAAAATAATTAGAACTCGATAGAATTACAGCCATTCTTCCCATGTTGCACTGGATATATGTAAATGGGGGCGCACCCTCTGCAATAAAAAAATCCTTAGGTACGTACATAGCCTACAGTAGTTTATTCATTTGTAAAAGTAGCCTCATTCACTGTTAGGGTCAGGTACGTATTGTATATCATCTTTGTTTATGCGTGCTATATTTGTAAGCAAATAATTGTACATTGTACCGCTACTCTATGGGGTCAGTATTTTTTGATAGAAACAAATCTGTTACGATATACGTTAATAAATTTATATTTAAATAAACATACTTGAGCACTAATAAGCGAAGTTACGTTTAATTTAATTACAGTAAATATGTTAAAAAGATGTTATTTCTCTCCACAATTTATGTATTACATAACACAGAAGATCTGCCTGCTGAAAAGATTCTAAGCATAAAGATATATTTGTGTTTGAACAAATAATGTTCAATGTAATATAATAATGTTTTTAAATTACTTTTGCAAGTTCAGTTGGTGAAACATTAATCAAATTCCTTTGATCTGTTATGTTTGTTTCATATGTAACGTGCCCACAAGATATTTGATTAACGGGCACATGGGTTCTTTAGATAAACACGGAGTGAAATAAACACTGGGGTAGTAGGGTGGTCAACCGAGTCAGTAATAACATAAGTGTTCTATAGGTTTTTGTTAAAATTATTATATTTTTATATTTGATTATTTTATAACATATTCTTATAACCATTTTGAATGATGCTTTCGTAGCGTACATATTTTACCATTATTATAAGCAAGTTTTATTTTCATCCATTAGATCTAAAGTTAGAGCTTAAATTCCTTTTCCTGCGCGCTACTGTAAAAAAGTAGATTATGAGTACGATAAAAATATACAATTTCTGTTATCCCATGGAAGGTTTTTTTATAAACTAAAATACGTGATATAAGCCTATATCAAATTATATTTAATCAATTCTTAACCTATTGTATATCTGTTTGATTTTTTTTAATTTAAACTTATTCCGTGGGATCTTACCCTTTTCCAGGAGTAAAAAAAAAATTTGTTACTAGTTCAGAAAAAATAGCAAATATTTTTATCGATATTTGTCCTTTGGTTTCTTAGTAAAGCTTTCTTTTACATAATTATTTAGTTATTGATTAAAAATAATGCCGACTAACGTAACATAATCTATCGAAGTAGTTTCCTTTGATATAAACATTTTTATGATTTTGTTGCCTTTTTTTTATAATACAAATAAGGTTTTTTTATTAATAAACTTGAATGGCCATAATCGTAGATGGAACTTACCATTATATTCATTTTGATCATGTATATCTCGTTTATCGCGACGACCTAGAGTCTCTCTCCAAATGTTGTACGGCTCACGATAATCTTCATCAACCACTGCAGGTCTGCGCAAACAACAACACTGATATAATGAAAGCGAAAACAGTAAAAAATAAACGAATTAAATGAGGAGCTTATATTCGATATGGATGTATTACATAAACTTTATCAACATAAATTCGTAGAACTTATATACATACATACCGTAGCATATGTATCGGAGGACAATTTGCCAAAGCTAGAGCTAGGCGTGGCGCTCTTCGATTGTTTCTCGCATTTGAGCTCCTAAGCGAGGGGCAGAATGGCTTTTTAAGCATGTTTGGAATGCGTCTTCTGGTTCGTTTAGTTAGTATAACAGCAGCTGCTGCTATAAATGCGCCTCCCCCTACCAGTGCACCACAGGCTAGTCCAACTGATACCCGAAGTGAAGAATTTCTTTTCTTCCGTGAAGAAGGTGTAGAGTCAGTACGATAATACTCTTCTAAAAACTCAGTGGATGTGTTGAGAACTGTTGGCACTGTAAAAATATTTTCGTTATAGTCTATAATCCTAGGATAATATTTGATGAATACAGTTAAATACCTTTAAAAAATATTTATACTTATAATGAAACAATAATTTCGCGAAATCGAAGTACGCGTTTCAAACAAAAAGTACTGAACTGATTTTAACTAAATTTTGTGTATTAATAACTTTTAACTAAATTTTGTGTTATTTTACTAACTTTTGTGTAATTTAACTAAATTTTGTGTAGTAATAAATTACTCGGGTCAAAATATACCAGGATTTAAATTGGATACCTTTTACTACAGGAAAATCTTTCATTCCCAAGGGAAAACGTAATAACTGGTTTTATCGGGTTATTATTAGACATTTTTAATGCTGCCTAAACACTAAGAGATACATCAAAACAATGCACTAAAAATTGTAGGTCTTAATAAGGCCTATAGACAAATCTGCAATAGGGTAAGTCTTTCTCATAAGGTACACTCGCAATAATTATTCATATCTATTTAAAACGTGCCTAGGGACGCAGCTGAGTGAAGCGAAGGTAAATCACTAGCTATTTATAAATTTGTTATTAGAAAAATTACAAAAAAAAAACTTAGTTCGAGTAGCACTTTTTTGCATTATATGATTTTTTAACTATTTAAGTTTCGATTGTATTTTGCTTTTTTTTGTAGATTAGTTCTATTGTTATCAATTATATCTTCGTTATAGTCTGATAAATATATGATAGAACATAGAAGTATATACATGATAAAATTCTAAGTCGAATCTGTACATTAAATATTTTTTGGACAAGGTTATTGAAATAGTGATTATTATCGATACGGAGGCCGTATCTATAGTTTTTAGAATTTTTGTCTGTCTGTCGGAACGCATCGAGACGAGACGGGACGAGAAAACTACTGGATATCTTTAGTCATAAATAAAAACAAAAGTACCCCTAAGAGTGAAATAGTTATTTTTAGGGCTATTCCAAATTCAGTGTTTTAATAATAAAGGAGTTACTACTTTTTGATTCTTATCCTTTGCGGAGTTAAAAATATTTGAAGATTGCTGGTAAGTCTTATAATTCAGCCTATTAAATGAAGGAAAACAGTCCTGTCTTAAGTTAGGACAAAGCGGCGAAATGAATAGGTGTCGAGCGCAGAGCTAATTGTTGTTTCACAAAGGAGATGGAGCTAAGTTGGGTGCGGGCGGGTTTTGTGCAGACAGTTGGTGGGAAGACGGCGGATTTGTGGATTATGGTACCAGATTCCATGAAACTTTTTACAGCTCGTCTCATTACTTAGAAGTAGTAAGGCGCTCTTTGTAGGCTGGCTACATACATATTAGTGTGGCATTAATGAAAATTGTGACTACAAGCATTACTGATATTTACTAGTTTACGTAACAGAAACTGCTGGCCATGAAAAAGTTGTAAATTACAACGTATTTTATTGGACAAATGAATAATTTCGATATATTTAATAGACCTTTTTCTTATATTGTATATTACTTTAATCGAATGAAAAATAATGTTTGGATAGCAGAGAAAAATAAAACTAAGTACTATATTAATTAAAAGGACAAACACGAGTACGTTAACTGATATAAATTACGAGCAGGCCATACGTGGCTGAGTTGCTAAGTAAGCTAAACTCGTTAGTTAGTGTGTCAAACTAATATAACTAGGACTAAGCCTAAACAGAGGTGGGAATGGCAAAGTGCCAGTTTCTCTCATACTGCCTGCCAAGAGTCACTTAATACTCTTCTAATTTCTATTTGTATGCGTATTATACGTCAATGTGGAGAGAAACCATTCCAAAAAAATAATATGAATCGAAAAATTTAAGAAATTTAATTATTTTATTCGTTTTAATATATTAATGGCACACTTTTGTGAGGATTTTTATAGAAACGATAGTATTTGTGACAATAAAATTGAGACAATTTAGATAACAAAAATAGCGCAAAACGTCTAGGTAAAGAACTACTGATAAGAATTGATATTATTATAAAACAAGTTTTAATAAAGTGTATGTGGCAATTTTTATAAAAGCTAAGCAGGCCATGAGTATAAATGCTATTTATGTATACCTAACGTTTCTTGTATATTCAACACTATCGTTAGCAGTGGTTTACGCCTCAATTATCCGTATAAAACGTGACCCTAATCCATGTTGAAGTATACCCACCTTTTTTAATTCATATTTCTTATATCACGATATAATATTACGTGGGTAACGATAATTCAACTTATTCATTTACATTTGTGCTTAGAACATAGCTCGTTTATGGGATCTATAGTAGAATCTTAGGTTTATAAAAAGCAAGCAGAGACGGATAGGTTAGACTTGCCACAAACCTCATTTGACCGCGTCGGAACATTAACAAAACCTGGATTCTGACAAATGTGCCATGTAAGGGGTAACTATAGTTAATAACCATCCAGGGGTAGGTCGAGGTAAGTCTGGTAATATGTATACAAATAAAAATCGGACAAGTGCTAGTCTGACTCGCACATCGAGTATTCTGTAGAATGAAGCGTCAAAACAAGTTTATATTCGATATTGATGTAACTGATTGATGTGAAGTCCGCCAACGAACACTTGTCCAGAGTGGTGGACTATGGCCTGATCCCCCTCGTATTGAAGGGAGGCCCGTGCCCAGCAGTTTGATGTCAAAAAAGGGCTGAATACATTGATTTAACTACAAACTTAATGATTCTAAGTCCATGGGCAGTGCCCTATAGGTTTTGATTATCTTGCGCGTGTCAAAATATGCAGCATAAAGGGCAGTTTTTGCAGCAATCTTTTAAATGCGTTGACTTAGAAGTTTAATTTTTTTATAGCTCCAAGGGATTAAACACCTGGTATATAATATTAATTCCAACTTGATAACTCCACGCGTTCCTGAGAAAAAGGCTCTTGACGGACAGATGGACAGATAGACAGACAGACGGATCGACAGACAAGTAAGTTTACCGACGGCTACGGCTTTTTAAGGAGATAAATTACGAACACTTACATACACACACACACACACAAAATAAAAAGTAAAAAAATATACTAAATGAAGAAAATAAAGCGAAATTCACAATTTTCAAATAGAATACGAGTATTTCAAGAAAATACAATATCGTTAGTTCTCGTAAAATATGCTGTTTATAAGAATTTGATCTGCGATAATGTGTATAGGTAAGATATTTAGATTTTGATATAAAACGTTTTATCAACCAAGGTTAAAAGGTGTTTAATCTTTTAATCTTCGAATATTAGTCGAGTAATGACTTACGAATAGTCTCGTGTCTTCTGTAGGTACTTGTAATTAAGGATTTATTTTGACCTTAATATCGTTCATTAAAGGCGATTAGGTACTACATTGTAGAATCAGGTCGAAAGTTAAAGCCTTAATTTAAAAAGCCATAAATAAAAGTTTGAAGAAGGTTTTAAGAGGTAATTGATAGCAAACAGATAAATGAATAAATTAATATTAAAAATCATTTTTAAAAACAAGTTTTTATATCATATAAATTGTGTAATGTATAAATGGGTTTGATTGAACTTAAAGTTTATTCTTTTAGTATTTATTCGTATTCTTCTCAGTAAACGCTTTCATTTGATATCCATATCATGGGGGTGTATAAAAAAACATAGTCCGCCATCGTTGAGAGTCTGCATTGTTGGTTTTAGAAAAACGTCACTTATTTAACCACGCATTGTGGTCTAAACTAAATATGTATGCAAAACAGCTCTATTGGTTGAGGATAACTGCTTTAAAATTCAGTTGCAAGATTTGACCCGAACTAACGTACATACAAACATTGCAAGTTAAATAAAAGCTTGTAAAAATAAATTCTTATTAAACAACAACCGAGTCTAGGTTTCCTCCACCCCATGGACAAGGTAATACAAAAAACATTATTTGCTATGATTTTAAATCATCTTCAACAGTTTTTATAACTAATTCTTAATATACTATATGATAACCTAAATTGTTTTAAATTCCATAAATTTCATTGTAGTTAAATTAATTTAAGCAATAGTTTTAAGCAACATGTGTTTGCAACGTCTTTTAGGATAATATTCATCTCGTGTCTCATGATGTGTACATATATAATATCTTAAGGCAGTCGTTAGAAAATAAAATAAAGTATCAAGCATCCAACTTCCCGCCACTGGTGATGAGATCAGTATCTGTTGAGTGACTACAATTGATATTGGATAGTCTTAAAACTCCGAATTTTCTATTACTTCGAAGTATATACATAAGTACAAATACAACTTAAATAAAATAGAAGAAACATTTCATTTTACTTAAATTCTCAAGGTTTCTCACAAATTTGTTTGTAAAACCGTTTGATTTGATAAACTGTTTCCACTCGTTTGTGGATCACGGGGCTGTTTTTTCAGGCGAATTAAGTGTTTATTGGGTTTATGTAAAACGAGTTGCCAACAAATTATAGACAAATTATTTCAGATTTACGTTGAATAATTTATTCGAGTTACTTTAATGCAGTGCGAATTATTTATTTACAAGGTAATTATTATTTTATAAGGTACTAATAAGTATAATTGGCTTACTTAGGTTTTATACATATTAAGTAAACAATCTTTATATTTAGTCTTCTTTTTTGAATATACTATATTTACGCAACAGTAAATCATGCCGAAAATCTTACCTGATTTAAAAGTGACTTCGCTTATCAATATCCATTCATGTTGAAATTTTAGCTTGAGCTTTATATGTTTCGCGGTGCGGTTCTCCAGATCGATGTGAATGGTACGAGCATGTTCTGACACTTTGTCCTGTTTGGGCTCATTAGAAAGAAAATCCTCTTGCCATCGTTCTCCTTCCAAGGAAAAATAAACTTCCGCTTCTTTAAAAAGCTGTTAGGATATATATTATGTTACTGTTTGAATTATTAACATTGTAAAAAAACCAATTAATATTAAATTACAGTTTACCTGTACATCTTTTGTAAACATATTATTAGTATGTATGTCAACATGATGAAATAGACGAAAGTCACTAAAATTGAATGTTATATCGATTTCGTCCTCTAATAGCATCGATTTGTTCCATCCAACCCACCGTGTCCCTAAAATAAAACACGTAATTTAAATAATAGGATAATCAAGCACATGATGGTGTTATTTAGAAGTATCTTCATCATACCTCGGGTATCTAAGGGGTCGGGCAATTCAAAATCGTTAGGACCAGTGAAAGAGTCGGTTATTTGCCCGAGTCCGTCGATCATTTTTCCTTTACGCATAATACCATCATACGAAAGATCTTCAAAACGAGCTCCTCCAGTCATCGCTTGCATATCTCCTCCTTGAGGTGCAGAGTATGCAACAACAGCCTCTGTGAAAATATTTCATCTATGAATAGGTACACCGCCACATGGCGGAATAAATCGCTCAGCTTAAATTTAAGTTACAAAATAAAATAGCATAGCATTTGACGTGAATTCCGTCGCAGGGCATATTTCGCAGTCTAGAAGTCCCGGGACATCGCCAGCATATTATTATCTTACGCTTGTTGTACCTACGTTTCCAGCGGCAGCCGTAGATTTCTACTCTCATGCAGGCGGTCCGGGGATGGGAGGCATATGGATAAAATCTGACTTTCGATGCTACGAATGGAGCTTCCAAAATTGTCTTATGAGCTGTATAAGTATTGACATTTCCTGGAATTAGCTGCAAAAATTATATGTATTAATACATTAAATTGATTGTTTAAGAAGGATATAATTAATGAAAGTAATGGTAAAACTTTAAAATATATAGTATAATTTTTATTTAATCTATGACATCAATAAAAAATTTCAAGTGTGTTGCCCGGAAAAGGTTCACAATGTAACAAGTTTTTTAGGTTGAAATAGTGACGGAAAAAAACTACCGTTTTTCGGTCTCAAAAACCAGTACTTTAATATTTATTATAAATGTAAAAGTATATTGGTAGTTTGTCAGTTTTCTATCTTTTTTACAGAGACAATTAAATTACATTGATCCATTGACCCTCTATGGTTCAGTAGATCGATATGATTATTTTGCATATATCTCGGAATGTTAGCTAACTTGTTAGAGAAAGTTCAAAGTCTTGTAGTTCTAATCGGTATTAAATAACTAATTTGAAATAAATTGATTGATTTATCTGTCAATTTATCTCGAATCAGTTATTCATCCGCAATTTAGTTATTCAGCACTTCACAATTGACTAAAAACACTTGTATAAGCGATAAAACTCTTATAATGACATAATTTTATGTGAACATTTTTCCTTTTCTTTCTTTACGTCTTTGATCTAGAAAATTGGCTTCGTTGAAAGTCAAGCAAACATTTTTTATGATTCTAGTCCTTTTTACGTATCATTCAACAAAAAAGACATAATCTAATCATGTACAATGCACCTACTTATATTTATTACAAAATTTATATATTTAAATATTTTAATTTCTGAAATTTTCTCATACCTTATGAAATAACGTTTATATAAACGTTAAGAAAACTTACTCGGCTGCCGTTAAAGTCCTTATATTTGACCCAGCGACTAAGTGTCTTTCGCCAGTACTCGACGGAGTAACTCTCTACAAACTCTACTCCGACTGAATTAGCGAATCTGCCTTGAGATTCGGTCGCTGTGATGAGATATTCATCGTGAAGGTCTATTTCCAGGTATTGACGACTGCGGGGCGATATGAGTCCGTTGGCGCACCAAGCCCCACCGCGAATCTCTGTCCTTATCCTATTACATTTAATTAATACTTTACTTATTTGTTTTAAAATCTATTATACGAAGTTTAACACAATACACAATATAATAAAAACGGGAAAGTTAGCGAAAAATATTCGAACAAATATGATTAACGTTTTGTGACATCAAATTTATGTCTATATACCTATAAATATGAGAATAAATTTAATGAGATATAAATGTTTGTAAATAGGAACGGCTTCAAGTTTGGCGACCGCGGCTGTTTTAATTTGAATATCTACTACAATCTCATCAAAGGTATAAGATGAACAAAGAGCTTGAATGTTGAATTAAAACAGCGTTCGCTGAATGTCTTTTGACCCTATGTAAAGTAATTTGGGTGATAAGACTTTGGCATATTCAGCCCTACTTATATCTTGTTATCTTTAAAGACGCAAGGCCCGAAAGGCTTATGTAGGATCATAGCCTCTCCGAATTCATATGAAAATTTAATTTTCTGTAACTGAAATTCTCTAACGAGCGCGGAGTTTTCGTTCTATTGTCTGGTGTTGAGCTTATGCGGGCTTAGATCCCGAATATGAAACCCTCTGTTAATTGTTTGAGCTAAGTATGAACGTTTTGTGGTCGTCGGATTCACAATTATTGTAACAACTATGCCATATCAAAAGTTATTTAGTTGCTAGGTTATAACCTTTTAAATTTATAATATTAGTTTCTGATTTGTATTGAACAATATTAATACTTAATCAAAAAGTAACAAATTACGATTTTATCTTTATATATATAATTCTTCTGTGAGTGTGTATGTCACTGAACTTCTCTCAAACGACTGGACCGATTTTGATGAAATTTTTTGTGTGTGTTCAAGGGGATCTGGGAATGGTTTAGATTCACAATTTGAATAATCATTTTCATCAAAAAAATTATTAAAAAAAGTTTGAAATTTTCATATTAAAGACGTGTAGACAGGACAACGTCTGTCGGGTCCGCTAGTTTAAATATAAATTAATAAAAAATATTGATGTGAAATAAAAATTTGGTCGTTTATATGTTACAACTTTGATAGTAGTTTATCTAATACATAGTATTTACTTAAAACTCAGGTTTTATACACAAAATATGTTTATTAATGCGAAAACGGTAATATAGCTATTTCAAACATGTACCTTGAACTAAGCGGGGACACACTCTGGTCGTAGCTCGAACTGGAAGCGAGGGACTCGTTGGATATCATCCCATTTTCCATCCCCAATGGCACTTCACAGCTGCCCACCTCCGCTGCGAATTTTTTTTTATTAATTATTAAATTCAATACACTTTGCTAGTATTTTAAAACGTAGACTTAAGAAGAATTCGCAATATAATGGCTAAAATTGAGTTTTCTTATACTAATTAATAATAATTTTTTTTGTGTTTAAGATATAACATGTACCTATCTATATTTATATTATTAAAATGAAGGACCAACGAAATAAATATTTTTAAAACGTTGTGATAGTTAGCTTAAACTGTAAATCACTTTGAGTTCGTTACGAAGTCCCATATTTAAAAAAATACTTTTGGATATTAGTTTTTAGGTAAAATATTACACATATAATCACAAAGCAATAGTCTTATTATAACTTCATATATGTATGTAAGCTAGGATTGAACGATATAAGTTAAAATATAAATGAACCTAGAGAACCTTTGAACTGTGAGAAAACTATTTCTTTATTACGAAATAAATAAATATATTATAAAAATAAAAAATCCGAATGTAAAAAACACGTTTCACCCTTGCCGCGAGATGCACATATCTACTCGTATGTATGTCTCCGACTGCATGTTCCTTCGTGAACTTGTTTACATTTTTTTAGTTAGCTTTTATGCAGTCGGGGTTTTTTTATTTTTATAATATATTTATTTATTTACAGCTTTTTAAGTAAGTACTTTTAAGTAGGAAAATTAGCGAGAATGGTTGTTAACCAACTTTAAATCATTATATATACTAAACTGTCATTTAAGATGAAAAATGATGAAATAAACCTAAAAAATATTTTTAAATAATACCCCACTTGACATAGTTCGTCGATTACCATTCTTTTCTTTTTCACATTATGGCGTCCAAAATCAGCCATTTTGATTTCTCCAAATTTTTATGCTTTCTATGACATTTGTGTCGTCATGACAAATCAAACGACGTATCATTTATCAAAATCGGCCAATATGTTTGGTCTAAATAGTGCCACAAAGGTACAACCCACAGTAGGCTGATAAACACATTACCCTCCTTTGCGTCGCACAGTCGGGTAAAAATGCACTCTCCCAGTGTTACATAACTTGCCAAAATTAGGTATGATATACCTACTATCTTTCTAATTGTTATAAATGTGAAAGTTTAGATGGTTGGATGTTTGTTACTCAATCAGGCCAGAACGATTGAACGGATCTGGATGAAATTTGGTCAGAGAGATAGATAATAGTCTGGAACAGCACATATGCTACTTTTTATCCCGGAAAAATGTACGGTTCCTGTGGGATAGATTTTTTTAATTTTTCTAGCGAGGGTGAGCGACTAGTTATTACTTAATAAAATGAATATAACATACTAAAAATCGTACCAGAAATAAATCTTTAATTATATGTTTTCCTTATTTTGACGGTCTTTTTATGATAAAATTATCTAATTAAGTACCTACCTCATTTTAATTAGATGTTCTGTGAAAATATTCCCTTGTAATTTGTGTTTGTTAATTATTAATTTCTTTTATGAAAGAAAGTAATTATATATTCCATATTTTGTAGTAATGGTGGATAATTTTTGTTAATATTATAAAATGGTTCTTGTACTTTGTGAATTAATTTTTAAAATTAATAAATATTAAGTGAATGTTTGAGGGAATTATTGAATTGTTATACTAATTGAATTAAAAAGAAAAACTACCAGCTCTAGTTTGATAAAAAAATCTTGCAATTATAACATCCAAATAAAAAAAAATTACGTGTATACGAGTACATAATTAAGATCCTTGATTTCGATCAATTAGCACTTAGAAGCTTTTGAGCTATGTACATATGTACCTTACGATTTGATCTTAGCTTTTTATTTGTTTGTCTTTCTATTATTATATCTCTAAAAAATAATAATATTCATAATTAAGAGTAAATATTGTGTGTCATAGGTTGATGGAAACTGTGTTGGGAGATAACGTATAGAATGATTAGTTAAGTTAGAATACCGTGGGAAATTAGGTACCATTCTTTATTTATGGTTACTGGATTTGTACATGAAATTTCCTGTTTGAGAAGAGACTTTCATTTCTTATATAATATTTGTCTGGCAGTCCAAAAGGCCCAATTTTTATTTATTTTCTTACTTTTAATAAAAGAATATACAAAACACAATGTCGGTGAAGCACAAAGGGAAAAATTCTAATTCGGTTTCGCGGACGGCGTTATTTTATCATACATATGTTTACTTTTCGTTACCCCTTCCTTTAGCAAGATCGTATTTCGACATTCTTGTATACACTTTGATATATTTTGATATGTTTCAGTGATATTTTATAAATCGTTGTTAGTTACATGTAAAAGTCTCAATCGCGATTGCCATATCTCAAAAGATTTTGAACATTACGAGTATAAGGAAAATGTTTCCTGTTGTGTATTTTGGTAAAAATATATAAAGTATATATTAACAGTAATTACTTATTTTTGTCAGAGAGGATCATACTTGTAACAAGAGGCTTGTCTTTATCAGACACACAGATACGAGTATAGCCAGAGCAATGCGCGTCTAATCCTCATCCTAGCGACAAGTGATATATCACATGAACAAATTACGCAGAACGGGTGAAACCGGAGAAAAACAATTTATTACGGAGACAAATGAGCTACGAGACCGCTGTCAAGGTGATTTTAATTGTTACATTGTAATTTTGCTACATTTTCATTTTAGTTTAAATTACATTAAATAAATAGAAATTGCTAGGTATTAAAAATGTCTGAATTTATTTTTTATGTAAATTTTTATGTTGCACTATGTATACATACATATGTCAAAATGATATGTGTCAAAATGTCAATCGAAACAGTACCAGAGTTCGAAATTCAATAGTTTTTGAAGTATCAACATAATATTTACAGTTACATATTATTGATTCATTAGTGCTCAAACTAAATTATGGAAAGGTTGATATTTAGACAGCTTATTCTAGGAAAAATATGACAGCTATAAAAAAGGATTTTTAGATATCCAATGACTAAAATCCAACAATCCGTGTTATGTGTAAGTGTATAGCGAAATATTTTCGTATAGAAATATACATAAATGCTTATTTCTTAGCATAACAGTGATAACACTGAGGTGGGAATAAGGTCTATTAAAAATTTCATAATTATGACACATGTACTTGTCATGTTATGTTGAAAATAAGCTCAAACAAACAAGAAGAACGCGGCTGCTGTACTCATACGTATGAGTAACGAACATTCTTTTGATTTATATCTTGACTTTTTATCTTTATCGCACCTAATGGGACTTTTCTTTGTAGAGTTCTCTAGTTAAGTAGACTTTTAAAGTAAGTTGACTTGTAGATGCTTATCAAAAATAATTATTATTACTCCAAAATAAAAAAAAATCGTGAAAAAATCTAGGGGGGAGTAACTTGAATTGGTAGAGCTCCCTGGGGCATGCTAAAACTTCCTACCTCATTACATTAATTGCTCGTCGCTAAAGAGACTAACTATTAAAAATTCATTGTTTTAGCCTCTACCAAGTTCTGTCAGATAGCAATATTAATATTTAATTCGTCAGAGACGCCGCGTCTAATATCCTAATTTAAAATTCTTAGTAAACTTAATATTTAAAAGGGGCTGGTCCCCTAAAGGTTCAATGTATACTAGCAATACTTCATATACTGTGAATATGCGCAGCTATTTGCTTTAGAAAGAAGCGTGAGTAAGGCAATGTTTGGGGAGTATGGAAATCTGTCGGCAGTGGAGTGCGAGCAACAGGAATAAAACGCTACGGTATATTATTTAAAGGTTCTGGGTAGAGGCTAGCCTTGCACGCCCAGTGGTACATAAATTTTCCGTTGGTACCGCATCGGAACCGCAGTAGCTACAACGATCGCCGTGTCTCGTACGTGCTACGATGCCAAATAAAATGTTTAAAGGATCGTACATTTAATATAACTTTCTCGTAAAAATAGAATATCTTTTTCTTGTAGTTCTAAATATCTTGAGCCATGTTTTTTTACACATTGTCATCTCATGTGAATCTAAAATGTGTATGATATGAGATATATGAGGCATGCCTATATTTTTACTTGATATAGCAATTGAAAAATAGTCTCTTACTGCGCATACAATATAAGTAAGTACGTTTATAGGAGGATAGCTGTTTATTTTATCAAAAAGGTATACTGTCTTGGAAAGCAGCGCTTGCGGAGGTTTCTGTAAATATTTCTCGTTAAAGTTGAAGTTTGTATACTATTTTGATTAAATTAAATGCTATTGTTCGAGCATTTGACTTTCGCTTGGTTGGTTTTGTGCAGTTTTGAGGTATAAATAAATGAAAGATAGACCAGTTCAGTGAAAAACGAGTAATTTAAATAACTTGAAAGTTTTGTTCTAATTGAATTAGATAATACTTTCTTAGATTTACGCGAATATTTGGCATTTTAAATAAAACTATCTTTTCGGATTTATTCGCGAATATATTTAGATTTTTGGTTCTCGACGTTTCGAATGCTTTACAGCAGTCATGGTCACGGGAGAGATGGTCAGTCTCTCCCGTGACCTGAAATAAATTCGCGAAAAAATCCGAAAAGATAGTTTTATTTGAATTAGATAAATTATTACTTAATTCAAGTAACGGTAAATCCACATAGCATATTATAACATGATGTTACATTAATTGATATGCTATTATGTTATAGTGCAAAATACTCGTATTAACTATAATTAATTTTTTAAATATCATTTAAATATATAGTAATAATAAATATAAAAAAAATGTTTGTGTTTATCTTAATTATTTAGGAGAATAGGTAAATGATAAGTGAAAATTTTATTTCAAAGCGAAGCTTAGTTTGCAATGCAGATTAATCCAGAGCAGTTTGTTATCTAAGCTTATACACCCTCTTTTGTTTGCTTTTTATTTACAGGAAAGATAAGAAAGGACCCTAGAAAGTGCGTATATTAATGCGTAGTGTAAGTGTTATGCTGCTTTATTTGATATTAGAAAGTATTGCTAAAATAAAGATGTTAACCGTAAATGAATCAGACTACTG